TTTATTAGGGGATCTTCAAATTTAAAAAAACCAAAAAATAACTCCCAAAAAATTTAGTTTGTTCATGTTAAATTTTTGAATTCTGCTTAAAAATCGGTGCTTGTAGGGTGGTAGGGTTTGCTTAAAAAACCACTTTTCCTGAACAGCTTTATCAAACGAGCCTGAAAAATTTTAAATTTTATTTTTATTTTTTAGATTCTGCTGTTAAAAAAAGTGTTTCCCCCCCATAAAATTAAGGAAAAAAAAAGTTTCGAAAGATTTTTATTTTAAAAAAATTTTTTTTTTAAATTAAAAATTTTAAAAAAAATTTCTTCAATTTTGTTTCGAAAAATTTGTTTATTTAAGGATTTTCCTTTGTTATTTTATTAAAAATTTGGGGTTTTTTGTATAAAATTTTGAAAGTGTGGTTATATAAAGAAGAAAAAAAAAATTTGGGTTAAAAAATTTAAAGAACAATTTAATTTTCTAAAAATTAGTCCAATTTTTCTTGTTTTTATAAAAAGTTAAAATTTAATCTGAAAAAATGAATTTTATTTTAATGGGCATTTTAATTTTTGTCACTGTTTCTTTTTTAACCATTTTTAAAAACAGACCAACACACTTTGGGGATCCAATACTACTTGAAATAAAAAGTATTGTACTTTTTTGATTTTACAAAAAAGATTGAAGGGGGTTGTTTTTTTTTTTTTAAAAATTTTTTTATCAAATTCAATTCTCAAAGTACGTGTTTTTTGGGATAATTTACATTTTTTAGATATTTAACGGGTAATTATATAATTAAAAATTTGGGTCCGTTAAATTTTGCTTATGATGAAAATATTGGGGGAAAAGGCGTAAAATGAAAAAAAAAAAAAAAAATTTGCTGAAAGAAACAAGTAAAATTCGTCTAAAAAGGAAAATTATCATAAATGAAATAAAATTAAACAGAACAAAAACAGAACAGAACAGAATTTTATTTGAAAAAAACAAAAAATTTTATATATAATAAAAAAAAGGAGAACACTTAAAAGTATATTATTGAAAATATAATACTAAGTAAAAAAAAGCAGGAATAGTATTGAGATTTGTGAAAAAGAAATTTCATCTAAAATAAAACAATATATGAAAGATTAATTTAAAAATTAATTATGTGCATGGGCGAAAAACCTTTTTAAAAAACAGAGAAAGAAATTTTTGTGATAAAATCTGAAAACATTTGTTTTGTAATATTAATTTGATATAATTAAGAAAAAGGAGAGATAAATTGTAAAAACTATAAAAAGGGATGAAAATGTAGTAATATCGTTATTAATAGTAAAAAGCTACGTTGTGGGTAAAAAATTTTTTGCTAGATTTTTATAAGAAAAATTTTTTTTTTTAGCAGCTGCATCTTTTTAAACACACTGGGCCTTTAAAAAAAAGTTTTTTTTTAATTTTTTTTCCTTAATTTTTCATAACATGGGTTTTAAAAAAAAAGTAAAATTTTCATCTTCAAAGTCAAACAATTGTTTGAAAAAATTCTTTCATTTCAGGTATTCTATTTTTTAAATAACGCCCGGGTCTGTATCCTAAGTGAGGTGCTGATAAACGATTTTTTGTAAAATAATTCTTAGATTAAAAGGTAAAATATCCAAAAAATTTTAAACCTTAGCTTTTGCTTAATATTTTAAAATTTTCAAGCACTGCACTATTTAGGGTTCCCCAATTTTTGAAAAATCAAATTTTTTTAAAAAATAAAAATTTTTTAAAAACCGATTAGGTAAAACACTGCAAATCCTTTTCACTTAGAAAAATTTTTAACGTTTGAAACCCATTTTACGCCCTTTAATAAATTATAAAAAGGAATTTTTGAAAAAAATTTTTTCTGAGTTATTTCCCCAAATTTTTTAAAAATTTTTTTTAAAAAATTTTTAACCCCGGGAAAACCCAGCACTTGGGGTTGAATTCAAACTTTTAAAAATACTTTTTGCAAAAAAAAGTGGATTTTTTCAATTCCTTTGTTTTTTGTTAACCCATAGTTTGTGAATTTTTAATATCCCACCAAAATGCGTAAAATAACTGACATAACAATAAGGGTTTTAATTTAAATTTATTATTTAAAAACCTCTCCAAACAGAAAACCTGTTTTTAAAAAAAGGTGTAAAACCCGTTCCAAATTAAAATCATTTCTTTTTAAATGTTAGGGCCTTTGTGGGCCCAACTCTCGTTAGGTAAAAAAACTCTGCGTTTCAAAAAACCCCTAATTTTTTTTTTCTCCGCGTTTACCTCCCCCCCAGGTTCACAATGTGTGTAAAAAATCAAAACTGTTTTGCAATTCCGCGGGGAGTTTTTCCCTAAAATGACCATATCATTGAAAAACAAACAAAAATTAAAATATGCGTTATAATTAACGGGGCTTTCGGGCATTTGTAATTTAGAAACAAACATTGCAAAAAGTAGAGGGACTTTACCCCCCCTTGAGTAAGAAGGCAAACAGAAATGAGAAATATGAATTACATTTTTTCCAAAATTTATTAATTTTTTAATTTTTAAAAGAAATTTGTTGTATCCCCTGTCTATAAAGTTAACCATAAAATTTTTATATAAAAAAACTTTTTAAAAGATTATAAAAGCTGCGTATAATCGTTTTTTCCCATTTAGGAAATTTTGGGTAATAAATTAAAAAAAAAACAGATCTCGTTAAAACGGCCTTTTAAAAAACCGAACTGGCGGGGATAAAATTTATTCCCAAAAAGAAAAAAAATTCTTTTTTAAAGTATCCATAAATTTTTAAAGGGCAACAACTAAGGTTATGCCACGGTAAATTTTTTAATTTTCCCCTGTTCCCCCTTTTTAAACAAGGTTAATCAACCTTCGTCCCTTTTTTCCCGGTAAATCCCCAAATTTAAACAGTTTTTAGTGGGACAGTAGCCCAGTGGTAGGAGCGCGCTTGGGGGAGGGGTCCCGGGTTCGAACCCACTAGGGGCACTGCTAATTTTTTGAGAAAATTTACGGTTTGCTACTTCCCCCAGGTGTAAAGGGTCCCTGGAGGGTGGTTTTAAAACCCTTGCGCCAAAAATGTCGGGGTGCACTAAGCGGATTAAAAAACTCCCAGGAGTTGATAGATAGATACCCGTAGCCCCATACCCGGGGTAATAGCTGTAAAGCGGTGAAAATGCTAAAACTGAAAATTAGACTATAAAATGCAATTACAAAAATTTTTTAAACACCGCGTTAAAAAAAAAATGACTAGCAAAATATCATACTCTCCAAAAATATTCATTCATAAAAAAGTCATACCCATGGCCATCCCTTTAAGGCTTAACAAAAAGACTTTCCCCAACTGAAGACAATTAATCTGCGAAGGGGAGTCAATATCGTCAAAAGTTATGGGAACAAAAAAGATTTTTTCATGAAAAAAAAGGTTTCTAAGTTTGAAAAAAACCAAAAAAAATCACTAAAGAAAAATTATTTTCTCCTTTAACATTTTGTTTTTTTTAAAAAATTCCCAAAAAAGTTTTTGGGTTACAACTTTTAAATTTCTCAAAACTCTTTCTTTTTTTTTTCAAAATTTCTTTTCTTTTGCGGAAAAAATTTTTTTTCTTTTTTACAAACAAAAAATTCCCCATTTTGCGAGATTTAAAACTATTAAAAACTTGCAAAGAACTAAATAACAAGTTTTTGCATTTTGAATTCAAAATCAAACCAATATTATTTTTCCCCCAAGGGGGTATCACAAAAAGTTACTTTTTGTTTAAAAAAGGAAAATAAGATCGGCAAATTTCTAAAATGCTTGTAAACTATTAACTGATATTTATTTACGACCTTTGCTTAATTCAATATATTTTTAATCATTTAAATCAGGGAACCCGGAATTATACCGAGCGAAAAATCACTCACACCGGGGATTCCATTTAATCCCTAATTTGTCTTCTTTACGAGAACGTTTAAAGCTTTTTTACATGATAAAAAAAATATAATGGGGGCATATCACCCCCTTCTTTATGCTACAAAATTTAAAATTACAGAAAAATTACATTCTTTTTTCAACAAATAATCTATAAAATGCCCCCTTTTTGATTTCAAAAGTGAAATTACCAATATTGTGTCTACATAAATTTCCCTTAACTTGCTAAAACCCTGCTTTACAAAGCAATGAGCATTTTCCCTAACGTTTAAAAGATTATCTAAAAAGGGCCCCAGCTAAGGTATATCGGGAAAATAATCTCGACATATAGCATTTTTTTTTCAAATACTAAAACACTTTTTATCCAAAATCAAATAAAAAATCTCCCAAAAAAATTTCGGGAACCATTTTAAAAAAAATTTAAATCATTTTCTAACAAGCCAAATAATCAAATTACAACTTTATGCGGGGAGTCTTCTCCCCCCAAAAACGCCCAATATTTTACATATTGCAAGGAAAAAATTTTTACTAATCTTAGCCAAAATTTTAGTTAATGATTTCTTACAAGTTCAATACCACCTGATAATGGTCTTTATAATAAAAAAAAACCCCCGCTACATCTCTTTGCATTTCGGTGTTGAAAATTTTTTTAGAAAGAATTTGATAACGAAAATTCAATGTTCTGTAGTTATTTGTCCAAATTCATAAAAAACACAATATCGTTATCTGAAATAATTTTCACAAAATCGTCATATCCACGTTTACCTCGGGTTAATCCATTAACATTCCAAGACAGAATCTTAAGGTCATCCTCTCTGAGACCCTAATCCTTCACCTATACAAACTGCATATAAACACATGCCGTAAAAAGTATATTTTAGTCGAACATACGATCAAATCCAAAACTGTAGCTATGGTACTTTAGCTCTACAGCGGTTTTTACGGAATGAATATTTTTTTGTAATTATGTTTGAAATACACATTTTTTATTAATGTTTTAACATTTTCTGTCTTGCAGGTGTTTGATGCGACGGGCAATTTATGAACATCTCAACATAAATTTTGTGTAGGAACCATATATAGAACCATATATATTCATCGACGATATTAAGCGAAACATACACGAAGAGCAAAGTTCAGCTTGTGCCACTTAACTTGAAATTATATAGGAAATAAAGCAAATAAACTATAAGCGCAAAGTGCAACGTTCGCCTCTCTATCGTACAAAGATTGGGATTACTTAAAACTAACTGCTGCACAGTATTTAATGTGAAATAATCATAACAGTGGAAAAATATGTAGTGATTTTACAAACGATTAAATTCCTTGTGAAATGGAATGTGTAGTAGGGACAATATTGTTTCAAAAGAGTAAACGTCAAGTGACAATAAAGAAAAGTCAATGACTGTAAGTGTCACACATTCCGCGTCAAGTGGTATATATGTTTTCTATCGAATAAAACCTAAGTTGTATTATTGATACTTTGTAAAATGCGTCGTATAAAATGGAAGGATATATATGCTCAGAATTTCATTATGATGGGTAAGTCGCCTTTTTTATGTATTAGATGCATGAAATATCATTTACTGATTGTAATTCATTGACTGTAATTAGAAATTTATTTAAGTATGCTGGTTTTGGTAATAAATTAAATTTAAACGTTTGCTTTATCATTTTTGTGATTTTTTTCTGCTGGGTTCGATAATAAAATAATGCTTAACTCTATCTAAACTTTAAAAAATTTCTTTGGACGGTTTATACGCATGTGCCAATTATTGGAAAATATAATATTTATTAATTAAACTATCAATACTTTTTGTATTTTAAATATTTAATACATTTATGATTAAGTTTGAAAGCACTCCTTCTATTGCAACTAAACAATTCAAATTGTATAATTACAAAACACTACCAGATAGCAACACATCAAGAGCAAATTGTCCCCTTTGGTTATGAATCTTGATTAATTCCTGACAGCTTTTATGAACGTTTTAGAAAATAGAAAAGGAAATCTCAAATTAACCAGATGTCATGATACAAAAGTGTGATAAAGAAAAATGAATACACGTGGATCATTATAGCGTTATGAAAATCATCCCTTGTGAAGGTTATGCAACTGAAACTATGCTTCAGCCCGTATTTTTTCCTTTTTTCTATTTTGTTTTTCTAGTCATCGTCCAAAACTTCAAATGTTTAGATTTAAAGTGACAAATATGGGGGAGGGGGGTCATGATAGACTCGATTTATTGAAGTTATACTTTTTGCATGACAATTCGATTAAATAAGTAATACGTTTTTTTATACATTGCTTTCGAGCAAAACGCTTTCTTTAGAAATTTAAATGAAACAATGTGATGGGAAAAATGGGAAAAGGTTTAAATGACGAAAACAATACAATGGCTGCTCTTCTCATGCCACGCTATACAAACAAACGTTTCAGACACTATAAGATATACCACTTGTTTTTTTATAACTAGCAGAGTTAGTCTAATAAGGTAGAATATTCATTACAATCCTTAAAGTGCACTCAAGACACATCTGCTATATGTCAATGTCTTAGAACTGTTGTTATATTTCTTTAAGGTGTACTTTCTCGTTTTTCTGTTGCCAGATTATGGTCAATGCACGTAAACTTCTTTTTGAGAAACATTTATTATAAAACACTTAGGGCATAGTCGATAGTCACTGTAATTAATGGATATATTTGTTATGCCAAAAGTATAATCTACTGCAAGAGCAAAAGTGTGAACGATTAGTATTTTAATTTGGAAGAAACATTTTTTTTCAGTGAGATCTTGATAATTTTCATTACTCACCTATGTCGCAAAACTGTCTGCCAATAATACATCAAACACGAAATATCGAACATGTATACGACAATCAGAACACCTTCAATTTTAAAACCCTAAAAAATTTCTTATTTTTTATTAAATATAAAAACCAAATAAAAGTAGGCTAAAGGAAAAAATGTTATAATTAAAAAGAATTTTTTCTTTTCCTTTAATACGGCTTTTAAAAAAAAAAAACCCTTCCTACCTTTTAATGGAAAAATAATTTTTCCCCTTTTTAGTATCGTGTATTTACCATTTTTTGATAAAGGAAAAAAGGATTTATTTTTGTTTTAAAAATTTGAAAGGGAGCTTTTTTTGTTTTTGTTTTTTCTAATTCGGCGTATTTTACCAAAAAAAAAATGATCCAATTTTTAATTTATGACAATAAAATATTTTTTTAGTAAATCCAAAAACACTCAAAGAAATTTTTTTCTATTCAAATAAAAAGGGGCCCCGAAAAAAAAAATTAATTTTTTGAATTGTCTTTTTGGTTATCGAACCAGAAATCAATGTTTTGTTTTCCCTATGCATATAAATATACTTTTTAAAATTTACCAATTTAAACATAACCACATAAAAAGCTAAATTGGTGCTTTTATTTGAAGATAATTTACATTTTTTTATTGATATTATACTACATGGCCCTTGATATATTTCATTCTTAAAAAACATACAAAAAAATAGTACCTACAAATCACAAAAAAAAAAAAAAAAAAAAAAAAAAAAAAAAAAAAAAAAAATTTCCAAATCATTTCGTAATAAATTAAAATTAAAAAATAGTTTTTTACATTGACTGTTCATAAAATTAATGATTAAATAATATCAATATGTTTTAAAATCTGTGTTTGAAGTTCTAATATTCATTAATTAATAAATTTTAATGCAAATTATCAAAGACCTTTTAAAACATTATTAAAAATAATGTTTTTCTGATATAAATTTTTAAATTTTTAGCAACATTTTTACGTTTCGTGACGTCCCAATGTTCGGAAACACATAGACAGGCTTGCTCATTCCCATTCATTCAACTACAAGCTATTAGTGCCGCCATTACCCCATCTGAAAAATATGTCCCTGATTACAACGAAACAACTCTGAGAAATGTATGCAAGTAAGTATCGTTTTCTAATATGATGAGAATATTTTTTGCCCCTTACAAATAAAGTCAACTCATACTTTACACGTTTTTAATCAGATACACGTAAAATATATATTTCAAATAACAAAATGGGTTGCGTTGATTGAATGCTATCCTGCCTTGTTATAAACTTAAAGGCATATTTAGCGCCCATTCCTATTGTTTTCAAGCGTTTTTTTTATTTCAAATGTAGTTACAGTTTCAAAAATGTTTCAAAAATGTAACTTACAAACCATTCTATTGTTGCTTCTTATTCTATCTGATAAAAAGTAAAGTTATAGGGATAACATTTTGTATGGAAGTCGAACAACAACATTGTTTACATTTTGATACGTTTTAATAACATGATGTCTAAATAATAAAAATATTGATAGTGAGTTTTAAGATGATCAGTTGCCATGTCACTTATTATATATTAATAAACTATGCATTGTATTCTTTTGTGATGCAACATGTAAATAGAGTTAACAAAGTGTCGTTCTGTTATGTTATGTTCTGTTCACATTCAGCACTACGTTCTTCTGACGATAAACATCAAGCATGCTCTTAATCATTTATCAATCATTAAAAAGTTATAAAATATATTTATTTTTTGCAATGAAGAATTGTCTTCACTTCTTAGGCTTACCGTACCTTAAATAATTATACCGTTATACCCCGTTAAAGTTTCAAATCGAACCGAAATACGAATATCAGACTATTTAACAAACATCGAACTGTACTTTTACGTGCGTAAATGGTATGCATTTTAGTTTAGTTGAAATATTAATATTGTACCGTTCTTTTTCTTTTCTAGTTGGTACACCGACTACATTAATTGTTCAAAGCCGTTTTTACCTACATGCAACACACAGACGGTGTCACAAATACAAACATATGACATTACTCTGGGATTAATTTGTAAAGACTTGTTCAATGGTAAGTTGTCCTAATTAGATTTGACACGCTTAATATCTTACAAGCAAGAGACTTCTGTTGGGCGGCATAATTTAATTTGCTCCTTATAACTACATCTGTGTATAATAAAAGTTATCAAAATAACTGCGCCAGATCAAGCTAGATTTAACTGCTGGCAGCTCTCGTGACACATCTGGTGTTCTTATTTTCGGTGTAAACAAATGACGTAGACGATATTGCAAGTGGAAACAAATTAAACAAAAAAACAAAATCAAAAATTTGCAGACTGTCGGGCAAGAAAATTACAAATGCATTGCGTATCGAATTTGATAAAATAGATGAGAAATAGTGGTACCACTTAATGTCAATATTTTAAGTAATATGTTGACGTCTTAAATAAAAGAAAATGCTTAAACAAAGTTGAACGTAATGTTAAGTAACATATATTTTTGTGCCCGCCAAAACAATGTTTATGTGATAATGATAAAATTAAGGAAAAGTTATATTTTTCCAACTCAAAATTACTGAGGCGTTTATTCCTCCTTTTTATATAATCAGTAATTGAAAGGAGATACCTGAGTATTATTATATTATTGGTCTGTTCATCCGAAGCAAACATTTATTCAAATGGTATTGATGTTGAAAGTCGAAATTTTATTTTATTTATACCCAAAGGTGTTAATCTATTCCAAAGAAGATGTTTAAAGTTGCTCGTTTTTCAGCTTTGTGTTTATCTTATTTTACTTTATTTTATTATTATTTTTTAGCTTCTTCAACTTCAAGATAATTTATTTAAACACCTTTACTGAATTTTGAATTTTGCTTAAATTTTTGATAATGAAAATGAGAGATGTTATTTCCTTTAACTGATACATCCCGCCCCGCCCGTTGCATCCTACTTTTTGTTTAATGCCCTGCTGGGTTCTTTACCTGTGATCCAGTGAGGCTGATTATGTGTGAGTTATGTGACTGTTGCACTGCCTAGTTGATCTTTCCTTTTCATATAATATACAATGAATTGTGTCAAGATTTATTACAAGATCAACAAACGGCCAGTTCAATAAGAAAATATGAAAAACAAGATCAACAAGGAATGGAAGCATTCAATGAACGCAGCCCCCAACAAAAGACCACCTGCAAGGAGCCTAGCAGGACACCAAACAGAACGGGGCACACGGGCTTGTCAATTAGAAGTTACATTAACAGAAACGTTAACAAATTGACAGCATAAATAAGGAATACTTATACGATTGTTACTTACTTAGCTATTAAACAAACAATATATTTGACAGGAAAGTCACAATGCCAATTATCTTTAAAGGTTTAAAATACTTGTTTGATCAATATATTTCAGGCTATTTGTCAAACAGAAACTGCTACGACAGACTAAAATCATCATATCAATCGTGTAAAGACAAAGAACTCGCTACAGTTAAAAAAATGGATCAGTCAGTTTCAGCATACACGTACATTCTTTGCAGGTTTTCAATCTTGTTATATATTTATGTCTTTATACTATCATTTAAAACAAAAGGCCAATATATGAACACTTGAAATTGTCTGTCATTTTTTCACTTTAATGTGATACTCTGTTTAAATAACGTTTAATTACTTAATCCTCATTTTCTTACTTTTGGCATGTATAAAATATCTTCAATCTACAGTTGAAAGCAAATTATGTTCAAATGCCCTGTCTTGTCTCTACCCTTGTACCTTTATTCGTTGCGCTGCTGGGTGCTACATTGACAGACCTGTGTAGCTGAGTACTTTTGGGACTGTGTTTTGTGAATGTAGCTTTTCTCTCTTGATATTTTCTTTCATATTTAGTATAGTAACAAAGTAACGAATCCGTTCATGACTATTTGATTTGGAAATGAAATACATTTCGAGTAGTTGCAAAGTTTTTGGCTTATAAACTGTTGTTCAATTATACAGTACACCTCAAAGAACATTCTGTGGAAAATACAGCAATGTCTTATACTAGTAATCAAACGGTGAACAAGGGAGTTAAGCATAAACGTTATCATTATGTATCTTTTTTTAACTTTTCAGTGCGTCAAGAAAATATGCTCTTTGTGTTTACACGGCAACAGCTCTTGGCTGTTCTATGTCAGCGGCAGATGTGTATTTCAAACTTTTAAATCATACTATAAGTAGCGTATTTGAGATTAATAGTTACCAATGTACATTACGTCATCCCATGGATGAAATATCAATATACACAACATCGCCTTCCACAGCTTCAGCCGCTTGGTCTGCTCAAACTACCATGGATAATACTCGAGATAAACAGAAACATTATAAAGAAGTGTCTTGTTCCGTTTGTGTACGAGCATTTTCGTTGTTAACGTATATTATAGTTCTATATTTAACCACCTTTATGTAGCAACATGTGAATGATATTAAAGAACGTGGTTGTGATTTAAACTATTTTGGTGCTATGCATTAATTCTCAAACATTTAAGATACAGTAACCTCATTTCTGCATCACTATTGATACATTGAACAATTGTAAAACTGTATACCTTAATAAAATTTGTATTACATTTATATGTTTTAAGATGACTTTTAATGCTTCCGAGAGATCACACTTTTTCAGATTTTTAAGCTATTATAAACCTGAAATGTCACATAGAAAGGTTCATGATCACTGCCGCAATAGTATAATCTTACTATTTTACTTGATACTTTTTTAATTTTGTGCCCCCACTAAGGGGGGGGGGGTATTAAGATTTACCCTTGTCTGTCCTTCCTTCCGGAAAATCATCCAATGGCCTAGAGCTTCATTCTGTCCATAATCTCAGTTAAAAAAAAGAAGTTAATTCCCATAAATCGACTGGTTTATGTGGTAATTTTACTTCTTTATGTCGAAAAAAGACATAAAGATCAAAGAAAAAAGCACTGAAACATCAAATGTTGGCACGTCCGTCCGTCCGCTCTCATGTTGTGTCTCACGTAGCTTAAAAAGTATTTGACCTAGAGTCATGTTAGTCAGCATGTGTAGTTGTGCACCTTGGGTTTTGTGTGTCTGTGTATTTTCATGTGGATTTATTCAGTATTTGTAGAGTGATTGCCCTTGACTTTGTAAAAATTTGCATTGTTCATCATATGTCGCACGTAGCTCAAAATGTATTTGACCAAGAGTCATGAAACTTTACAGGAATGTTGCACATTTGCAATTTTCAACTTGTGCCACATGTTGCCAAAAATATTAAATCTATGTGGAAAAAATAACGATTACATCATTAATTAAGTGTTGAAAAATACGGAATTCTTGATCCATTGCAAATCGGCACATTATTAATGCAAGTACCTGTAGAATGTGTATGTTAAATTAATTTATTTTTTCATTCTGGAGAAGTTTGGAAGTCACATACATTAGAATAGACTATAGACAAAATCATTCATGAGGCGCTATGGTAAAGCCACAGAAAGGGCACGGAAATTACCATTGATTTCGACAAGCACGAAAATGACTTCCTGCCTATAGTACGAGATATCAGAGAAAAGAATTCAATACCCAAATAATTGATAACAATTCCAGTGATTTCTTTCCTTGCATTTTACTTTCGAATAAAGGCTGTTTCCCCTTGCCCAAAATAGGTATATTTTCCCCCTTAAAATGCTAATATTTTCCCCTAAAATTCCTTGTGCACATTCTTCACAAGAGTACTTGACTTGTATCAACTAAAATATTGATAGCCTCTGCTATGAACCATGCATGTAAATTGAACTGAAATTGAAAATTTTATAACATTTCATTCTCAGTTGTTTGAATTTAATTTTTCAATTTTCTGATTTCACGCGCTATATTTTCCCCTTCAGAAAGCCACAGGTTGTTTTGAAATTTGGAAAAAAATCACTGCATTCTTGACCCCTAAACATCCATATTATATATAACCATCGTTTAACAAAGTACAGTAAAACATATATATAATAAATACCACATTTATATAGCGCCCTTTTCATTAAAATGTTCAAAGGCTTAGTAATATTGAAAAGCAGCTGATGATAACTGAATCGGAAAGGCTGAAGTGTTCACTGAGAATTTTTGGACTGAAAGAGATTGAGGAAGATAACACATCACTCAAAGGTTTGATAGTTGATGAAGTTCTTAGTGTATTTAGAAGTGATGAAGTTAATCTAACTTCTGAAACAATATTGTTTGCCAGACGAATAGGGGGAAAATCCGATGAAAGTGCCAGGATGGTAATAACGACTTTTGCGAATAGTGAAGATAAATTCAGGTTATTTAAGTATAGAGATGTCCTGCGTAGTAGAGGAATTCGCATCTCCAATGACTTGTCATTCATACAACGCCAACAATTGAAGGAGATAAAGCAGGGTGGTTTGCAAGGTTATTTTAGAAATGGGAAATTGCATACATACAAGCCTCAATCTTGTACTGAATACACTGGTAATACTCGAGTTTTCAAGCGAGCTTCTCGTCAAGTCGACCATCAAAATGACATAGGCCCAACTGATCAAGATATCATGGAGACAGGACCTAGTGTTATTGAAAGTCAGCAAATCAGCAGCAATGATCCTAATCTTAGTAGGAGATAGGATGGAGGTCAAAGCCCAGCACATTCATGTAAATCACTTAAATTACTAACATGGAACATAGAAAGTTTTAAATCTAAAATGTGTAACTATACAATAAAAGATATGTTATCATCTTTTGATATTTTTGGACTACAAGAAACATGGGACCAAGATTCTGACTATCAACAAACTGAATTTCAAGACTATACCTTATTTTGTTGCAATGCAAAAAGATCAAGTGCTGGAGGAAGACCTATGGGCGGTGTTTCAGTATTCATCAAAAATGACTTATTACCTTATATAAAACGTGTATGTGAACTTTTTGAGTTTGGTGTGGTGCTATTGATTGAAAAGTCTCTTTTTTCTCTTAGTAAAGATGTTTTATATGTATGTATGTATGTTCCCCCAGAGAATTCACCTTTTTATTCTGGTATATTTAGCTCTGGTTTGCAACAACTTGAAGAATTTATAGTAACATATCATTATTTAGACTATGAGTTACTGATAAATGGAGATTTTAATGCCAGAACAGGCTGTATAGCTGATTATATATTAGGGGATACAAATATTCCAGAATTGAATGAATATAATGATATTCTTGATGGTGACATTGGCATGCAAAGGCTTTCTCAAGACACAAAAATTAATAGACTTGGAAAAGAGTTGATTGAATTTTGCAAAGTATATTCATGCTATATTGTAAATGGGCGATTTGGGGGTGATGATTTCACATTTGTCAATCAAAATGGGTGTAGCACAATTGATTATTTTATTGTCTCTAAAAATATTTTAGAAAAGGTACAGAAATTTGAAATTTTGACAAATGTAGAAAGTAGTCATTTACCGTTAAGCCTTTGGCTACTGACAGATAATTATATATCAAATGATAAAGAAGGAAATGATTATATTCATTATTATTATTCACTAAATGAAAACAACTGTAATGAATATTTGCAGTGTATAACTGAAAATGTATTAAATGGGTGCCTTGATACAGCTGATAAATTGATAGATGATAAAGAGTCTAATGTAAATGATATTTTATTTGAATTACAAAATGCAATTTGTCTTAGTAGTCAATCATTTTATAATATTAAAAGGAAATTTGCTAATAAAGATAAAAAGTGGTTTGATCGAGACTGTAAAGAGGCCAAGAAATATTGTAGAAAGAAATTGAATGATTTCAGATTAAAACGATGTGCTAACAGCTTAAACAATTATCTACTTAGTAAACAGAACTACAAATCATTATGTAAAAACAAAAGATTGTGTTATAATAAAAATATTTTGACAAAAATGGAAAATTCAATTAATAATCCAAAAATCTTCTGGCGGGAGTTGCAAAATTTGTCTAAAAGGCCGAAATCAGTTCCAAATGTATCATTACATGACTGGTATGAGCATTTTAACCAATTGTTCTCTTCTTCCAGTTCCAGTGAAATTAGTCCAGGAAGTGATACTGTCTTAAATGAAAATTTTGATGAAATTGAAAATATTATTTTTAACTCCTGTATTACATATGATGAAATCATTTAAAGCGTAAAAGCTTTAAATTTACATAAAGCAACAGGTGGCACTCTTGTTCCACAACACTTTGTTTATGGTTTAAATGTTTTACTACCATTCATATGTAAGTTGTTTAACAGATTGTTCTCAAAAGGTGAATTTCCAGATTTATGGGCCAAATCTATAATTATTCCAATACATAAGAAAGGAAGTTTTAAATGACCCAAATAATTATAGAGGTATAGCCTTGCTAGATGTATTTAGTAAAATATATATTTCAATTATTACTAAGCGTATTACTTTTTATGTAGAAGCTTTCAATAAAATAACTGAATCTCAGGCAGGCTTTCGCGCTGGCTATTCAACAATAGATAATGCTTTCGTTTTATATTCAGTTGTAAATAAGTATCTAAATATGAAGGGCAGAACTGTATATGTTGCTTTTGTTGATTTTCAAAAGGCCTTTGATTCTGTGGATCGTTGGAAGTTATTTGATATTTTAAGGGATCATGGAGTTAAAGGTCATTTATATAAGTCAATAAAGGCTATTTACACCTCTGTAAAAGCATGTGTTAGAACTAATGATGGTTGTACTGATGTATTCTCCTGTCCTATAGGATTAAGGCAAGGCTGTAATTTAAGTCCGATTCTTTTTGACATGTTTATCAATGAATTGTATACACTTTTATGTAATAAACAATGTAAAAGGTTTGCAACTGTTTCCAAATACTATGGAAATATTTCTTCTAATGTTTGCAGATGACATCGCTCTCCTTTCGGTCACTATTGTAGGTCTTCAAAGACAATTAAATTTATTACATGAATTTTGCATTGAAAGCAAGTTAGTTGTTAATATATCAAAAACAAAAGTTCTTGTATTCAAAAAGGGTGGATGTGTGGCAAGAAGAGAGAGATGGTCATATGCAAACAATAATTTAGAGATAGTTAATGGCTTTAATTATGTTGGAATTTATTTTACAAATAGGCTATCTTTGTTTAAGATGGCTGAAGCTATGTCAGTTAAGGCCAAAAAAGTCCTTATGTATATATTTAGTTCATTTCAAAGTTTTTCATGTCTATCTACAAATACATTTTTCAAAATATTTGACTCTAAGGTTTCATCTGTGCTGCTATATGGGGCAGAATTATGGGGAATGAAACAACCACAGTGTATAGAAATTGTACAAAATTATGCATGTAAAAGAGTCTTAAAAGTACAAACAAATGCATGTAATGATGCAATATTAGGTGATTTAGGCAGATTCCCAATGCATATTTATTCAGCAAAACGCTGTATTAAGTATTGGTTACGTTTGCTTGATTTACCAAGAAATAGGTATGTAAAACTTTGCTATGAAATGCTTGTTCATTATGATAGTGTAGGGCACACAAATTGGGCAACAGATGTAAAAAACAATCTTTATTCAAATGGGTTTGGATATGCATGGGAACAACAAAAAGTAATAAACAAAAAACTTTTTGAAAAGCAATATGTACAA